ACAATCAAACATACTAAAAAACAAACATTTGTATATTTTATGTATGTATGTATGTTTCTGTGTTTCCTAATAGTTAAAATAAACATACCATACCTTACCAACCACTGCATCACGCACACACACACGCACAAACACACACAACAACAAAAACAACAACAACAACAAAGCAGACGACAACACGAAACAGCGGTTTAAAGTGCGCAAATTGTCAGACGAACTTGACAACACTCTGGCGACGAAATAAGAACGGAGAGCCCGTCTGTAACGCTTGTGGCCTCTACTACAAGCTTCACAACGTAATTATTATTATTATATTATATTATAACTTATTTATTATTGTAATTATTAATATAATTTAATCGTCATTATTGTAACATTATAATTACTAAATAGTAGTAGTGGTAGTAATAGTAGTAGTGGTGGTAGTAATAGTAGTAGTGGTAGTAGTAATTGTTGTAGTTGTTGTTGTAGTAGTAGTAGCAGGGGTAATAGTAGTAGTAGTTGTCGTTGTTATAGTTTTTGTAGTAGTAGTAGTAGTAGTAGTAGTAGTAGCAGCAGCAGCAGTAGTAGTAGTAGTAGTAGCAGCAGTAGTAATAGTAGTAGTTGTAGTATTGGTAATATTATGAGATTAATTAATTAGCTAAATAAGTGATGTTTTTTCTTGAAATACAAACATTCAGTCGTTAATTGGATAGCTATAGACATTTCCTCATTCCAAATTTTATATTATGTTATATATTATAAATATTAATTGGTTAATTATTATTATAATGACATCTTTTATATAATTTATTCTAAATTATGTTAATTATTATGCTTATTAATATTCATACGTGCGCACGCGCACAAAGATTTCTCGACCAATCACAATGAAGAAAGATGGCATCCAGTCGCGAAACCGGAAGTCGAAATCAACCGAGCGGAAGTTGAAACGCGGAAACTTCCGGCGCTCCCGGAACAAAGATGGCGACGACGACGATGATGATGATGCTGGGAATGATGATGATGATGATGATGATCGCGATGATGGTGATGCTGATGATAATCATCTCCATCGATACGCCGGTGATGGTAATGATCTTTACGAAACCAAAGATCAAAATTTGAGTAAGGACGTTGGTCCTTATGACAAGAATTTTTTGCAACAACAACCACAACAACAACAACAACAAAATAAACATAGACACAAACTTTTTCAACAACAACAACAACAGCAACAACATTTTGACAGCTGTCAGCTCAAACCGTTCGCTGCCTACTATTACGACAACCCACAACAA